CTGTCTCAATTGCTGAGATAAGGTATTGTAACTATTTACACTATTTACATTGTTCGGACTGTTGTCCTCATCTTTATTGCCATATTCACCTTCAACATCTGTCTCTATTTCTGAGATGAGATATTGTAACTATTTACACTACTTACATTGTTTCAGCTGTTGTCCTCACCTTTGTTGCCATAATCACAACGAAAACCTGGAGATTAAATGGAGATGAAACATCCGGAAGAGGCATGGCACGTGGAATAAAACAATCTACAGCGGCGGATGAAATAAAGAGTTCAGTTCGAAATTCAAATCACTCGAAGAAGGCCGGAGCGTACAACGGCGGAAACGACTTTAATATGGCAACAAAGATGAGGACAACAGTTAGAATGATCTAAATAATTCAAATCATAACGGATATAAAATTCAACCACCACCTTTTCAGTACTTGGGTGATAATGGCTCTCCACCATTTCCTTCCCTTTGTAGACCTTAATAGAGTCCGCCTTTCTGCTATATTTCTTAATCTATGTCCTTCTAAACATAATCAATAGGTCGTTAGGTGGGTAAAGCTCTGCTTTCCTCTGTCCCACTTGCCTGCCACTGTTGATACGTATAAGTGTCCTTTTCGTTTTCATTTTCTTCGCCGTTGCTCACGTGTTAAGTTTATGGCATTCTTAGCATCCTTCTGTAAAACCATATTTCTGTTGACTCAAGGTTCTTCACCATCTGTGATGATCTAGCATGCATTAACAAATGTAATTAACGATATTATGCCGGGTGGAGCAGCAAATCTGTCCAAATCGTGTAACAGCAAAATTGCCCAATTGTTAGATTAAGCTTTCAACCGTTGTATCTTGGAAATAATGAAATATATTTACCTGGAATACTGCGAGGTTTTAATAGCGCTATTGGTTTCTACTTTGAGCAATAAGACTGTATAATTACTCTCTAAGCTTAACAGAAATATCGTGATGAAATCGCCCATAAATGAAAATGACATGTTCATTATTAATTGATCATAGCTAAGGATCGGAAGCTCATAGAATATTGAAAAGAATTTCAAATATACATATATTATTCTAGAATCACTTTTCAACTTATTCAGGATGATATTCGCCCTCTTTAAACGTCTAACTTTCTGTCTTGCTGTAACTAGGTTTCACGTACGATTCCATTTTCAACTCTGTTTCCCCTGTTAGTTGAACTGCCATAGTAGAAACTCCTCTCTCACGTGCCAAGCTTCTTATGAATTGAGTTGGATCTTTTCCGATTGATCTTTTTGGCTCTAAGTTGAAATGATGAGCCCTCTTCTAAATCAGATGGGAAGAGAGTGTGGCTGCCACAAAACGATTAGTTTCGTTATATTCACTTACACACACATACCCTTAAAAATAATCTACTATCCCCCATCTATAGGTTAATTAGTATGATTTGGAGCAGTAAATTTTTATTATCTCCCTCCAATTCCTACAAACAAAAATTATTTTCTGGCTTTATATCACTGGCAAAAGGTTGATAACGCATAAAAAAACTAATCAATTTATCAATAAAATTGTCTTCTTAGGCGGCGATCGGTGGACTATAAATAATCTTCAACTAATTGCTGAAGTAAGAATATTTACTGTTATGGTAATTTACCCACGCGCGCATGGACTCTACCAGCTATAAATAGGAGCAGGTACTGCCTTTTGAAGAGGGAAGGTTCCAGCAGTCAGCTCTGACAGTCGGACCGAACATTCTAGCTGTAACACTCACGTTTGCATATGTTTGTCTTACTGTTTCTGTTAATATATACTTCCTCTGTGTCTTTATTTCTGGCCCTAACAAGGCCATAACATTTACCTTACCTCCCTACGGCGCAGGATGCGGCACAAGGCCGTTTTTTAATGCGAGGCAAAACCGAGCCCGTTGGCTCGGGGAAACTTCCCCGTAGATCACATATACAAAGGGGTCGGGTAGCTGTCTACCACCCCAGCCGAGACTCTGCCCTTCGGCATAGCCTTGTTTGGGTTCCTCTCTACCCGAAGGCAAAGAGTTCAACCAGCATAGCTGGAGATGAATCCCCACCTAATTGCCAAAGCAAGGATATTTACCTTACCCCCACAAGGTCGTTTTTAATGCGGTGTCAAAACCGAGCCCTTTGGCACGGTGAAAAAATCCCCGTATACTCGGGATCGGGTATCTGTCTACCACCCCAGACGAGACTCCGCTATTCGGCATAGCCTCGACTGGGTTCCTCTCTGTCCGAAGACAGTGTTAGACCAGCACAGCTGGAGTCGCATCTCCAACTAATTCCCGAAGCAAGGTAATTTACCTTACCTCCCCAGGTGGCAGGATGTGGTACAACGCAGTTTTTTAATGCAAGAAAAAACCAAGCCCGTATACTCGGGCAAAACTTCCCTGTAGATCCCGTAGGAAACGGAGTTGGGTAGCTGGCTAGTACCCTAGACGAGACTCTGCCATTCGGCATATCCTCATCTGGCTCCTTCGTTCGGAACAGCTGGAGACGAATCTCCAACTAATAGCCGAAGCAAGGTTATTTACCTCATTTCCCCACGAGGCAGGGTGGAGCACAAGGTCGCTTTTAATGCGGAGAAAAACCGAACCTGTAGGCTCTGACAAAAGACGAATCTCCAACTAATTGCCAAAGCAAGGATATTTGCCAACTGCCAGACGCGGTCAGATTTCGCACAAGGCCAATTTTAACGTGGTGTATCCGAGCCCATAGGCTCGGGCAAAAACTTCCACGTAGATCCCGTATACAAGAGGTCGAGAAGCTGTCTACCAGCCCAGACGAGACTCTGCCCTTCGGCATATCCTCGTCTGGCTCCTGCGTTCGGCACAACTGGAGACGAATCTCCAACTAATTGCCGAAGCAAGGTTATTTACCTTATTATCCCGCGAGGCAGGGTAGGGCACAATGTTGCTTTTAATTCGGAGAAAATCCGAACCCAGGCAAAAGACGAATCTCCAACTCATTGCCGATGCAAGCCCCCACGTATATCCTTTGGTCACCTACTGGTATAGTCAGTCCACATAGAGAGTGTGTGACATTCCATTACAAGAATCTCTGAAATTTATTTTAACTTTTATTTCGTGGAACACATCTTATTTCTTTTTAATTAGTTTCCGCTCATATTTTCACTTAAAACAAAAACAGTAACAGTCATTGACCCGTCCTCAATGAAATACATTGATATTTCGAATCGAAATCTATAGTTTTAAACCCCTCTGATTTCCGATTGGTGACCTGCGACACTAGAACAAGATCACTGATCCGGATAATCTGAGACAATTTCCCTTAATCCTACTACTGCGGAGAGATTTTAAACTAATCCGGAACGAGGGGCAGGTTACTCAAACTTATTGATTCTACTTAAGGTAAAAGCAAACATAAAAGAAAATAAAAGCTTTCGATTTCTTTGCATATATGATTATGCATATGTCTTTGCATATATTTCTCTGCATAAATGTTGCGCAAGTATATATTATTTGTAGAGTCCGTCGCGTGTGCTATCATCAGAATTGGCGTCTTTCTTTTTCATTGTATTTTCAGAGACTTTGCTTACAAGCCAGGCGCCTGTTTAATATTTACATTGTTTGTTACATGATATAGTCGCCATTTTCAAGCAAAGTCGGTTTACCACTTACATAAGTCATAAACGAATTGGTTATTTCTAAATAGTTCTCTTTTATAGAAAGACCAACTGAATTCATAGTTATACACTTGACATAATATTATAATATGTATTGTTGGTAATTTTACTATAAAAAATGTTTTTACATATATTCTAGTGCTGCAATGATTTTCATTTTGTTATAAAAATATCTATTGTTTATTTTATTGTACTGATGAATTTTTTTTTTTTTTTGTGTGGTGTCACTATTTGCCCATAGGTGATGCCCTAACAGGTGCTACCATCCCGGGTCTGGGTGGACCTGGCCCTGGACAATTAAGAGGTGAACCCACGCTCCACAAAACCCCCAATCACCAGATCAGAAGCATTGCTGCCGGATGTAGTTTATTGTCATACCCAGGACGATCCAAAACGTAAAGCGACCTCATAACTAAGTGTCTACTGATTGGGCAACTTGTTGGGCTTAGGGTAATAAAGAAGGAGTTTCAGTATAAATGATAGCACAAGATTGGATTTCCATTATTTAACATATTAATTCCAGTATTTTGTCAGTTAATCTCGGTCAGTCTCGATGTATTTTCTTTAGTATTCCTCTTTTCTCTCGGGATAGAGAAAACGCACCACGAACAAGAAAAAAATGTTATATACCATGACTGTGTTATAGTTGAGCGTACTGTTTGTAAGTGAGTCGCCAGCAGCAGATTAAGAAAGCAACCTTAAAAAATTATGCACCAAATACATTGATATTACAGTTTGACGTAATTTGGGAGTCATGCGTTTGCTATTATATACCGCAAATTTGTGGTCACGATATTTTCATTTGATATCCGTATGGAGGCGGTTTGCTGCCAGCATATGTTCTGGATTATTCTAATAACCTTCCTAAATATATCAAGTTTACCTAGCATTTCCAAAGTTCTTAGTGACGTACTTTAACAAATGATTTTGCATAATCTATAAAACATAGATATACATCCTTTTCTATTGGTATCGCTCTTTATGATACCATTCTGAGTACAAATATCGCTTTCCTTGTTTCAGTATCGTTAATGAAACTCTACTGTACTTGTCCTAGCTGCTGACAAATTCAGCTTCCAGCTCTGTTCATCAGAAAAAACCTTAATGTGATAAACACGAATTTAAATATGAAGCGAAGGAAAAATGAGATTTTTTTCTTTCTGATGAACTGAAAAAGCAAAGACGTTATGTTATGAATACGAAAGACGGAATCTAAAACAGTAGAAAAATTCTTTGCCGATTTGAAATAAATAATTTGTTTTGAAAAGTTAACTCTTTTGGTATTGGAAGGTCATTGACGGCCGGGAGCGAATTTGGATAAAGCCTACAAAATTCGCAAAGCCGAGTTTTGTACACATGCGACTGAACAGGGAATATGTACGTCGTGTTGATAAATCGACAAAGAAAATGATTGCAGTTGCCTGTTTTGTTAATCGTTGTTTATACGATTTCTTTTTTTTTCCGTACTTTTCACAGAAATTGAGAAAATTGTTACATCGCCGAACGAGATCAGACACTGTCTCCTTGTCAACTTTACACCTCTGAACTAATACCATGATCTGTATTTGAGTGTTTTTTTACGGTTTATCAACCATTTGCTAGTTATTTAAAGCTAAAAAAATATATCTATATTGTTAAAATTTTTATAAGATCTAACACTGATAAACTGATACAATTGCTTTTCAAGTTTGTGCCAAATCTAAGCTACCATTAGAAAATTATTTATGGATACTTAGGCGTGGTGAAGAGTTAACAAGCTTGTCTTACTTGTGCACTTATAACTGAATAGTGAGTTCGATCTTCACTGAGATGAAGATCGAAATCACTATATAGTCGCAACTGATCTAGCGAGATAAGCTTGCTAATCATTACACAATACGTTGAAGGACCTCGGCTAACATGAGGATGATTCGAATGTGGAAACTGAAAGGCAGTTTGTTAAATTGTCGATTTCTTCCGATCGATATATATTTATTAATTTGAGACAGTTTAAAAATTATATTTCAACAAAATTTTCTCATAATATTTTTCTTTATAATTCAGTCCCAGTGAAGAGAGTAAAAGTCATTTAGTAAACAAAAAATAAAAAAAATAAAATAACAAAGAAACATAAAATTTTTATAAAGAGCCTATTTCAAAACGTCGAGTTTGTTTGTATTTTTTCCCTCGAGGGAAAATCCAAAGAAAACGGGAAAATTAGTGGATGATGATTTATGTGAGGCAATTTTTTTCCTTAAACCTAACGTAGAAAAAATAGAGAATATTATGAATAGGACAGCGTGTGACACATATACACATATACTGCATATATATATATATATATATATATATATATATATATATATATATATATAGTAAGAGCAGCAGAGAGAGAGAGAGAGAGATAAATACATACATACAGTGATACATAATGGACGTACATAGATAATGAATAGAGATATACATTGTTAGATAAGTAAAGGACGTATATAGATAACGCACAAATCTATCTATTCCAGTCTGTTCATATCTATCTATCTATCTATCTATCTATTCCAGTCTGTTCATATCTATCTATCTATCTATCTATCTATTCCAGTCTGTTCATATCTATCTATCTATCTATCTATCTATCTATTCCAGTCTGTTCATATCTATCTATCTATCTATCTATCTATTCCAGTCTGTTCATATCTATCTATCTATCTATCTATCTATCTATTCCAGTCTGTTCATATCTATCTATCTATCTATCTATCTATTCCAGTCTGTTATCTATCTATCTATCTATCTATCTATCTATTCCAGTCTGTTCATATCTATCTATCTATCTATCTATCTATCTATTCCAGTCTATCTATCTATCTATCTATCTATCTATCTATCTATCATTCCAGTCTATCATATATCTATCTATCTATCTATCCTATCTATTCTATCTGTTCATATCTATCTATCTATCCATCTATCTATTTCATCTATATCTATTCTATCTATCTATCTATCTATTCCATCTATCTATCTATCTATCTATCTATCTATCTATCTATTCCAGTCTGTTCATATCTATCTATCTATCTATCTATCTATTCCAGTCTGTTATCTATCTATCTATCTATCTATCTATCTATTCAGTCTATTCCATATATCTATCTATCTATCTATCTATCTATCTGTCTATCATATCTATCTATCTATCTATCTATCATCTGTTCATCTATCTATCTATCTCAGTCTATTCATTCCATCTATCTATATCTATCTATCTATCTATCTATCTATCTATCTATCTATCTATCCAGTCTGTTCATTCATCTATCTATCTATCTATCTATCATCAGTCTATTCATCTATCATTATCTATCTATCTATCTATTCCAGTCTGTCATATCTATCTATCTATCTATCTATCTATTTCAGTCTGTTCATCTATCTATCTATCTATCTATCTATTCCATCTATTCATCTATCTATCTATCTATCTATCTATCTATCTATCTATTCAGTCTATTCATATCTATCTATCTATCTATCTATCTATTATATATCTATTCATATATCTATTTATCTATCTAATCATCTATTCCATCTATCTATCTTCATATCTATATCTATCTATCTATCTATTCTATCTATTCATATTATCTATCTATCTATCTATCTATTCCAGTCTATCTATCTATTTATCTATCTATCTGATTCCATCTGTATCTATCTATCATATCTATCTATATATATATCTATTCCATTCAGTCCATCTATCTATCTATCTATCTATTCCATCTATGGTCATCTATCCTATCTATCTATTCATCATCGAATTCTAAAAACATTCTATCTATCTATCTATCTATCTATTCCAGTCTGTTATTCAAATGAATCTTGAAATCTATCTATCTATCAGTTAAATATCTATCTAATATATTCATCTATCTATTCAGTCTATCTATCTATCTATCTATCTATCTGAATTATTCCATGAATTCATATATATATATTATCTATCTATCTAATATCTATCTATTAATTTATCAAGGAGAATTCATATTTTATCTATATCTATCTTTTATCTATCTATCTATTCAGTCTGTTCATATCTATCTATTTATCTATCTATCTATCTATTAGTCTATATCATATCTATCTATCCATCTAAAATCTATTCCATATTGTTCATATCCATCTATCTATCTATCTATCTATCCCAGTCTGTTCATATTATCTATCTATCTATCTATCTATCTATTATATTTATATATCATACATCTATCTATCTATCTATTCAGTCTGTTAATCTATCTATCTATCTATTCATCTATTCTATCTGTTCATATCTATCTATCTATCTATCTATCTATTCCAAAGAAAATAAAAAATATCTATCTAACTATCTATCTATGAATTAAAATTTTCATAGAAAGATATCTAGAAACCAAAATCTATCTATCTATCTATCTGTAAATATCTATCCATCTATCTATTAAATATAATAAATATCTATTCTATCTATCTATCTTCTAAATTATATCAAACTGTAAAATCTATTTTTTCTGTTATATTATCTATCTATATTATCTATTTATTCCAATTTATTTTTATCAATCTATTATCTATCTATCTATTCTTTCTCTATATATTATCTCATTATCTATAAAAATCATATCTATTGACGTATTCATTGACATATATCTATCTATCTATTTGATAAATGAGTAAAATATCTAATATCTTCATTTATCTATCAAAAATCTATTCCATATCATTTATCTATCTATCTATCTATAGATCTTCTGTTTAAAAAGGAAATATCTATCTATCTATCTATCTTGGAATCTATTCCAGTCTATTTAAAGAAAATCTATCTATCTATCAGAATATCTAAGAAAAAATTATAAATATTATCATGGAAATATCTATCTAATTATTCTAAAGAAAAAGAAATCTATCAAATCTTCTATCTACATAAAATTCTATTCCATTTACAGAAATCATCTATCTATCTATCTATTTTAACTCTATATCAATATCTATTTATCCATTAAAACCAGTAAATAAAAAATTAAAAATATTACAAAAATATAATATAAATCTAAAATCTATCTATGTAAATAAGGATTCAATTCAATTAAAATTTATTAATATCGAACGATAGAAGTCTATTAATATCTAAATATTAAATATCTATTTTAAAAAATTAATCTATCTATAAAGAGTTGTTAATTCATTAATCTATCAATGAAATTTATATCTATCTAAATATCAATAATCTATCACACAGAGGTTTCTTCATAATTTATACCACAAACAATTCCATTCTGTTCATATCTATCTATCTATCTATCTATCATATTGGACAATCTATCTATCTTTATTTAAATCATGTTCATACATTTAATTATATAAAAAAATCTATTATATCTGTTAAAATATAATTTATCTATCGATTCCATGTCTTTTAAAAATATATATATATATATATATATCTATTTTATATATAGTATTGACATATCAATTTTGAGCATTTCACTGACTCTTCTTGATTGAAATTTTTCCATTGACTTTTTTGAATGGATTTTAATACTTTTGAATCAATTGCAGAAAATAACTAAAAAGACTAAAAAGTTTTTATGTCACTCCAGAAGGTTTTCTCCTCTGAGTCCATCCTTCACATCTTCATATTAACCATTCGTCCATGCAAATACTGTTTAGATATATGGTCTGGTTCCAATATATTCATATCGAACTTAAATGAAAACAAAAAAAATCCAAATACGGATCAATGTATTCGGTGAAAAATTTTGTCATCTTTAGACTTTAAAATATTTATAACCGACCTGATCAGTTTTAAGATATGATTTTTACAAATAAATTCATAGAAACTGAATTGTAGGGAGCTCTTTTTTGGCATCAGATTTTTCGTTCTAAGTTGGCATCTTTCTTTTTGTATATTTTATTTTGTTTAAGGTTATGTTCCTGTATAAGCCTCTTTGGGGTTATTAGTAATTTTTTTTTTTTTTTGGACTAAGTGTGTGTTTTTGTTATCCATGTCGACAAATATACACACAAAAGAAAAAAAAAAAACCTGATAATAAAAAAAGTAAAAAAAAGTTTCATTAAATAATTTTTTTTAATAGAAATTCGTTTAAAAAATTTCTTTTTGGTTCAAATAGCGAAACGCGTCGACAAGGATTAAGTACTATTTTCCGATTCTCTATTTAATTCACTTTGTCTTCTCTTCAGATTTATTCTGAGAACTCTAACACATTGTCGACATAGAAAACAAAAACACACGCTTAGTAAAAAAAAAAAAAACTAAAAAAATTTTAACAGTAAACAAATATTCAAAAAGATGCTTACACAAAGGAACTTATTTTAAAGTATTTGCGTTTTCAGGAGATTTGTCTATCTATCTATCTATCTAAATATTATCTTATCTAAATGAGATCCCAAAGTATATATCTATCTATCCCTTTATTATTTATATATATATATATATATATATATAAATATGGTAGTCCAATTTTGTAATTTTATTTTCTGCATAAGAAAATTTATTTATAAAAATTTTTGGCTGTTCATATCAGTTATATCTATCTGTTCATTTAAAAAAATTAACTCAAAATTTTATTAGATATTTTAATATATCCTCATATATAATCTATCTCTTACCTTTTTTCATGAATCCGGATAGAACAATATTGATCACTATTTAATTTAAACTTTGTCCCTGTTGAAATAAATCTATTGCCCGTAAATTTGACCTTCCAATGAGATTATCAAACAAATAAATAATTTATCCATAACAATTTTTTAAATATTTAGATTATTTTAATTGAAATAAAGGTATGAATTATTCATGAACTAACTTTGCCAATGTTTGTTTAAAACATAATTCAATAACGTTCAGTTTAAATTTGAAACCAATAAAATATCAGCATATTTTTGCCACATTTTCGAAAACATCATCATCATCATCATCATCTTTCATTCATCCAAACCATAATACGGTATAATCATAGGACCATTGCATCGTTGACTCCCCCCGCCCCTGCTCACCTTCCTCCACATATCCCATTAGGTATTCATTCATATGCATCATTTCTTGTGCAAACTAGGGAATACCAGGTGCTGTAATGTATAGGCGGATGGTGTAATGGATAATGGTGAGGAAATGTTAATCAGAGAACAGAGTTCGAATTGCCATTGGGTTCATCTGTCCTGGGTATGACGATAAACTACATCTGCGTCCTGGGTAAGACGATAAACTACGTCCAACAGCAAGGCCTCTGCTCAGGAGGTTTTGAGGAGCGTGGAACCACCTCTTAATTGCTGACGTTCCCAGCTTCACCTGAACCGGGATGGTAAAACCTGTTAGGGTCCCATCTATGGGCAAATAGTTGACACCCAAACTTGTGTAAAAATAGGTTTTAATATCAGAAAAAACTTTGTAATAGAAAAAAAATTAGCAGCGATAATTTTTGAAGGAGAAATTATCATCAGCAATACTTTAAAAAAATGTGCTAGCAATACAAACAGCTATAAATTCTTTGAAAAAATATTACCAGCTATAGATTTATTCAAGGAAAAATATTCCCAGAAATAGATTTTGAAGAAAAACATATTACCAGCAATAAAAATCTTTGTCGGCATTAATTAATCCTTTGAGATTGATATGCTGTAAACCAAACCAAACCCACTGTGTTCGTTATCGTCACTTAAGAAAAGTTTGAATCTACCTCTTCTCCTCCCTGCTATGGATTAATTAGTAATACATTTATGACTAAATCATTATTATCTCCCACAATAAATTCTTACAATCTAAAAATATTATCTAGCTTTAACTAACCTCTAATGTGTTGCTAAACAGTGGAAAGGGATTCAATCAACCATTAACAACAAAATATGAAAATGACAGTGTTGATAGCTGACACTGAAAAGAATTCACTAGAATTCTTAGAGAAGACATGAACGAAAAGGAGAAGAAAGGACTAAATATCTACCGCAAGGAGACAGATACAAAATTACCTTTGGGAAAGTTATGAATCTAACTTCTCCCCAGCTATGTGTTAATTTAATACGACTATTAAATCTATTATTATCTCCAAAAAATGCTCACAAATTTTCTGGCTTTAAATAACCTTGTTGTAACCTAGATAGGGTTACTAAATGAGGAATAACCAAAACGAAGGTTGAAAATGAAATGGTAATCTTTATAACATCAACAAAATACAATACACGCCAGCGGCGTGAAATAGGTAAACCACAGCTAGTGGTGGACTACTTAGACACCATATTACCCCCACTTACAATAGTGTCCAACATATTTATGAGGATTGGGACATACCCATCAGTGTTCATAGGTACGGTATATAACAGAGGAACAACAGAAAGACAAAGTTTATTAAGAGCTACAGGGGACAGGAAGTTGTGGAGAGCCATGTTCGCCTACGTCATGAAGGGACAGTGTACATAAAGACGTATTGGGAATCAAACGTTCTAGTGTGTGTCTAGTGGCTAAGGAAACATTTATTTTTTACCTGTGATGAAATAAAATCACTTAGATATGCTACTAATTTCGTCCTGGGTATGACGATAAACTATATCCGCGTCTTGGGAAAGACGATGAATTAGATCCGACAGCAAGGCCTCTCATCAGAAACAGAAAGAGTCAGGTTTCTGGGATATATAATGAGGAAAGAGGGTTTGAAAAAATCTGATGTTCACAGGGACAGATAGAGGGCAAGAGGGACAGAGGAATGCAACGCATAACATAGTGAATTTGAGTAAATGAAGAGTAGAACAGGGTTTAGGAGTAAGTTGTAACCTGGAAAGGGTTACTGAATGAGGAATAACCAAAACGGAGGTTGGAAATGAAATGGTAATTTTTACAAGATCAACAAAATACAATACTCGCCAGCGACGTGAAGTAGGTAAACCACTGTTCGTGCTTGGAGTAATTATACAGTATATTACCCCCACTTATAATAGTGTCCAACGTATTTATGAGGATCGGGACATACCCATTAGTATTCATAGATACGATGTATAACAGACCTAAAATGGGTAGTTAAGTAGTATAAAACAATCAATCAAGCAATTAATCGTAAAAATGAAGACATCGTGGGCATTGTCAATTTTTTTTTTAAATAAATAAAAAAAACAATTTCCTATGATTAACCTCATTTCACTTCTCGTGTGATTTTATGAATTTATTTGATAAATTAAAATACAGTTAAGTAATTATAATTCAGTCATGAAATAATGTCATTCTCTCGAATTATTTATAATGTTTGAATTTTAATATATATATTTCGGTACTAAATAAACCGCTAAAAACAATTAAACCAAACCAAAATTCCACAGCTGCCGTATCGTCTGAAAATACAAAATATTCTTTTCCA